GCTGAGCCACCCAGGAGCCCCCAGAAACCAACTTCTAGCATTAACTCCACCACTTAACAGCTTCTTATCCTTGAGTAAGTTACCTATCCTCCCTTTCTCGATTTTCTCATCTAACAAGTGAGAGTAATTGTAATCTCCACCTCAAAAAGTTATTAGAGAAGAAAACCTGAAAATGCTCTACAAACCACTCAAGTACTCACTGATATTACTGGAAGCAGCTTGAGAAAGTGTGCTCTAGTCAGTCACTACAGGCTCTACTCACTCAGAATTTGCCACCCAGCTCCACCACTTCTTGGCTCTATCATCGGGCAAATCATTCCAACTCTCTAAACCTCAGCTCCTCTATGTCTGCTGCTTCCTTTTTTTTTTAATTACAAAATTCCTCTGACTAGGGTGTAAAGAATGAATGAGAAAGGAAGCAAGAAGACAGCATGGAAGGATCCTGCCGTGATGAACCTAGGTGATGTTGATGGTCTCAACTAAGATAAAGCAGTGATTACAGAGAACTGGATGGATTTAAGAACATGTTGGGAAGGAGGGTTAACAAGATTCTGTCATGTATTAGATGGAGGGAGAAAGACTTACATATCAAAAGTGGCACTTGACATTCTGGGGCGCCTGGGTGGCTCAGTTCGTTAAGCGACTGCCTTCGGCTCAGGTCATGATCCTGGAGTCCCTGGATCGAGTCCCGCATCGGGCTCCCTGCTCGGCGGGGAGTCTGCTTCTCCCTCTGACCCTCCCCCCTCTCATGTGCTCTCTCTCATTCTCTCTCTCTCAAATAAACAAAATCTTAAAAAAAAAAAAAAAAAAGTGGCACTTGACATTCTAGCTTGATGATAGTACCTCTCTTCTTTGATAGAGAATACAGAAAGGAGGAGTAAGTTTGGGTAGAAAAACTGAGAATTTGTTTTGGTTATGCTGAATTGATATACTTATGATACATCTAAGTGGAGATGTCCAGTAGGCATCCGATTTTGAGAAGCAAGAGTCAGACTACAGATAGAGATCTGGGAGTCAACAGCCTGGTAAATTGAAACCATGTGAGTAAATGAGATTGTCTAAGGAGAGTGTATTGAATGAAGAGTCGTCCCTAGGCTAGAAACCTGAGCAATACCAATCATCTTTAAATTTCTTTCTTTTATTCATCTAATCATATAAAGTCTTAAAATTATTCTGTCACAATACTTTTTAGGGATTTCTTTCTGTATTCTTATGATCACCATTCAAATTTAGGAAGTAAAGACCTTATTTATTCATTTATTTGTACTTTATTTATTTATCAATATTCACTGCTAATTGATATGTTCTACTAGGTGATGGAACTCAACAGTGATAAAAAATAGACATGGTGATACCTTTAAAGGACTGACATTCTAGGGGAAGAGAGTATGACAATAAGTAATACATAATCTATTACATGGAGATACATGCTACACTGAAAAATTTAAGCATCTAACATAATGAAACTTTCCCACTAAAATAAGGAACAAGGCAAGGATGTCCCCTCTCACCACCCCTT